AGTTGTAGCTGCCATGCCGGCGACCGACAAGACTCCCACGAAAACAGCGACCAAGTTCTTGCAAGGAACTGGGAAGCTGCGCTGACGTGACTCGCGCCAGGCAACCTCATCTTGATTCTCAACAGGATCTGAAACCGGACTCGGGTCTTTGGCTGTCTCCTGAGGAGTGTTGTCCAAGCGTTCCTTCCGAGCGCGAGGAGGGTCAGATTCAGACTGCAGTTCCCATGAAGGTATATTGGAAACAACATCTGGATCCTTGCCAGGCAACTCCTGCCCTTGGAATGGCAACTCCCTTGGCTCGAGGTCATCATCCCTCAGAACCTTCGCAGCTGCACCTGGTTTCATGGCGAAGCAAGTGCTTGAGTTTGCGAAAGCACCCAATCAGTTCAGCATAAATGGCTGCAGACGCGGTTCATGAACATTCAGGTTAGTGTTGCTGCCTCGGACGTCCGAAAGCATTAGCTGTCTTGTTTCACAGGCAATTCTACTGTGGATGCCCTTGTTTTCAGCAAGGCGCCCTGCAATCACGGCTCAAGCCATTGCCGTCTGCCAAAGGTGTACAACGCAAAATGTGGAAGAAACTCAGCCAGTCACAGCCTGAGACAGCACGGCAGCACGGATGCAAATTAACAAAAAATCAAATAAACAACAACATCTGAGACCACAGCAAACATCACTCTGACATGTACCACCTACAACTTGCTCCAGTAGGACACATGTACTCGGCCCAGCTACAGCATTGCCAACAGCTGCTCGGGAAGAATCTCAAGACTTATATATGACTTGCAGAGATACAGTACAAGAAACACTTGATCACAAACTCGCGTTTCCTGACCCGCCCTTGTAGCCAATCGCCTTCTGCCACAGAACCTTCCTGGAATCCCGACACCTTCACAACCTTAATCAGCCCCAGGAGCCTTGCAACCTTCCCTGAACTCCACCCTGGAGCCTCGCAAGATCATTCTGGAAACCATATAAGTTGGAGAATCTACTGTGGAAAGGTCCAAGACCCGCTCACCAGGGCACCCAAGGACAGGTCATCTCTACAAGAAAAACTCTGGGCGGCGAACATGTCTCAGGCGCCAAGCACCTCTGGAACCTCGTGGCAGCTCAGCTCGCAGACCATGGAGCTGGCCAAGATGCCAGCGCCTTGGATGGTTGCAAACAAAGTCAAACAATTCAGGAAATTAAGGGATCTGTCCTGCATCTCTTTTTGATAAATTCCAAGCCTTCTGACGCAAAATGGACATGGAAATGCGGAAAGCTGCACACAGTCGCATGTATTCGCTGCAAACAAAGCGCCCACATGATTTGAATGCAAGGCTACACTGGATCATCAGATAAATCATATGACTTGAATGCTTTCCAGAATGGATTTGCATCCATCACTGCTTCTGCCTGGCCTCATCTATGCTTTCAGGTCTTTAACAAAAGCGTATCGCAGAAGACAGCCTCGCAGTCTCGCTACACTGAGAGCCGGAATTGATCAAGAAATACAAGCTCCTGACATCTTCAAAAATAACTGACACAAGTTCCACAAACGCACCTGATGTTCGTTTCCAAAGACGAGGTGATCTACCTTCGAGTCAGTGCAGTCAAGATGATAGACACAGATAGACACAGCATATTTGCGGTCGCTTCCAGGTTTTGAATGTCTCTGCCCTCAGCGCTGCACCAAAATGACCTGACAGCCACTGCTATCGACGCCGGTCTTTCCATACCAACAACGATCCCAACTCACTGTGCGCACAGTGGTGCAAGTAACGACGATAGGAATTGCTTGACTGCTGTTCGTGTTATTTCTTCAGTTGTATGAAAAGTAGGTTTATTGAGGTGTAGCAGATTGATATGCCACGAAGCGAACCAAAACAAGCATAGATGATGCAACGTTAAATGACGGCAAAAAACGGGCAAGGTTCATCTGAAGAATGGGTTGAGATGGTATCGGGGTGAGCAATAATTGAGATTGTAGCTTCACAGACGAAAAGGAGCGGGAACAGAGTCGCCAGCGCCCATACAAGAAGAACAAACATACTAGTTGCAGCATTCAATACATGCACTGAATGAAAACCAACACATGGCAGTGCACTGAAAAGAAACCTCGTCTGAAAGCGATGTGGTTCTGTCACGGCTAGCATGATAGACACCTAGTCTTACTATAAGAGGAGAATCCTCTTGGGCAAGCGGCAAACGCGAAGACTCTCTAAGCACAATGCAACGTCTCAAAGCACCCTGACTGACTTTCACTCCTTCCTCTGGGTCTGCAACACCCCAAACCAAGCCGCTCTACCAGCAACAAACTATTGAGAACACGGACCACCGGGAGTCGAAAGGGGTGAACCCTCGCCAAGTAGAACGCTTTCATTTTCCGAAACAACCATTGAATTCGTTGCTCAGGTGGCCTCAGCTTCGATCCGTGACCAACAAGTTTTCCTGGCAATTCACCCGTATTCTGTATGCTTATCCCCGTATGCAATAATATCAATAATTTATAAAAATGTCTGGTTTTGTCCACATGGGATGGTAGTAGTACAGTTGCACCTTTACACAGGTGGTTTACGGCGACTCATAGCCACCATCACAACAGATCGGCCTTTTAGAAGCAACATGTCCTGTGAAGCGAATGGGGCGGAGCTATGAAACAACCACGCGGGCCTCTTCAATGAACCACAGCATCGCCAGATGATTGTCGTCACTTTCCAGAATCTGCCTCCAATGGCACATAGTATGCACCTGCAGCACTTCTTCTGGGAATTCCAGGAGTTGGTGCGTAAAACGTGCTAAATTCAAGAAAAGGAATCAAAATGGCAAGAACGGCTGAATGAAGTTTTTTCAGCTCAGGGGCCTTGGGCACATTTCATGATGGCAATCAACTCTTGAAGCAACAAAACTGTATGGCGAATCTGGGGGGACAAGCAAAAGAGGGTAGACTGGTGGAACCACACAAAGTTGGAATTTGCAGGATGCTCTGAACACAAGTGCCTCCGATGCATTCCTCTTGGAGCTCCTGGAAAGATATGGGCTCAAGGTAACCACTGCCACGGAATCAAGTCTCAGCTGCAGAGGTCAATATGTTGAATATGTTAAAGTCCACCGACATTGTCAAGACGGGTTGGTGATAAATATTAGTTAGCTGGGATTATTTTCCCAATACATGGAAAAATAAACAAATGTTCCAAACCACCAACCAAATGAGTTGTACAATAACAACCAAGAAATGCAGGGTCTCAGGACCTGGCAGGGCGGCTGGTGCATCTTCAGCACCTGTTTTTCAGCGTTGGGAACATCACAAATTTAGTTTGAAAAATGAAATGTTGCATGTCTATGATTAAAAATGTTGAACATGAAACCTGAGAAGGGGGACGAAAGCCAGCCCCCTAGCCGGAATCTTTTTAAAGCACATTATCTATATATATATAATATATATATATATCTGTGTGTGTGTGTCTCCCTCTCTCTCTCTATGACACAACTTGCTTGCATGTTCCTTTTCTTCACACTTGTCCATGCTTTGCAACCCTTCGCCACTCCTTCCTCGGTATCACTCTTCATCCCCTTGCAAACTGTCTTGCTCCGAACCCCAACGGAGCTGCTCTCCGTTGAGCTTTGGATCCTGATTTTTTCCAATATGTTTGCCTCTATGTTCCTAGTTTTTTCAATGCTTTGCCTGTCCTCCATTTCATACCTTTTTTTCAAACCTTTTCCTGCGTTTTCCGACGGTTTTTCCAGAGTTTCCTTCCTGCAATTTCCGCATTTTCCCAACGGTTTCCTCAATTTCCTTGGTTTTTCCAAGCTTGCCATGAATGGTTTTTTCAACATTCAACCCTTCGCCACTCCTTCCTCGGCAAACCGTCTTGCTCCGAACCCCAACGGACGCTGCTCTCCGTTGAGCTTCGGATCCTTAGTTTTTCAATATGCTTGCCTCTATGCTCCTAGTTGTTTAAAGGCTTTGCACTGCGCCTCCATTTCATACCTTTTTTTCAAACCTTTTCCTGCGTTCCTACGGTTTTTCCAGAGTTTCCTTCCTGCAATTTCCTCATTTTCCCGATGGTTTCCTCAATTTTCCTTGGTTTTACCAAGCTTGCCATTCATTTTTTGCTCCAGTTTTATGGTGTTTCACAATTTTCCTCCATTTTCCTCCATTTTCACCTTGTTTTTAACGATTTTCCTTCATTTTCCTTGGTTTTTTCCTACCTTTTTCCGCCTTCCGTTTTCAAGGGACCTAGGGAGAATCGAACCCCACCATCTAGTGGCACATGCCCCCCTAAAAAATTCCAATTGGCCACCCTAATCACCACCCAATATCGAGATTTTGGTCCACCTGCGCAACCTCCACCCCCCACACCCCCTATACTCACTTCGTTCGCGAAAACAACTTTCTGGCCTATCGGCTGGCTTGCGTAATATAGCCATAATATAGCTGAAAGCTTTTGAAACCACCAACCCGTCATGATTCATCGTGATTGATCATCATTGGTCAGCATTGATCATCATTGATCATGATGGCATGCTGCATGCTCATTCCCATTGGCAGGTCATTTTCCTGGGGCCAAAGTGGACGAAAGTGGGCTTTGTCAATGTGGGTGTCGCTAGCACCGCTCCTAACAACCCCAGCAGTCTAAAGCCACGCTGTACATCCAGGGCAAAGGCCCCGCTGAGTTCGAGAACAGCCAAGCAGTTCGTATCTGCTGCAACAAACCAGCTGCCTTTGTCATTCACTGTTTAGATTTCGTCATGTAAAATGGTTCTCGGCTCATGGACTTCAGAGTTTGTATCCAGGGCTTGAAGCAAATCTACAGCCGGCTCCAACTTGGCTGAGGATTTTCAAAACAAACCATGGATTACCACGTCTGTACCGTGAGTTTTACTGGCTTTGAAATTCGTTTGGATCCACAGCCACCTCTGCCGGGAATCAAGCCAAACCCTCTACAGCATGTTCACCTCAAAACGGATGACATTTTTAGGGCCGTCCAATTAAACTGGTGAGAAAAAAACATATCTCACGCGTGGTTCAAAATCCACAGCTGGTTGCACCTCCCTTCGTCATCATCGGGTTTCACTGGGTAAAGGATCACCTTGCTGCCAGCCTCCAAGCGACCTCCGCAGACATCCAGGCAAAGCTGGCGATTGTTGGCCAGCTTGATGCGCCCATCCTCGAACACGAAGGCCTGGTTGAGCCACCAGCGCCCTTTAAAAACAGAAAGTCGATTGGGATGATCATCCCAAAAAATGGTGTGAAGTTATAGAAGATCTACGTTGAAATCATTTGTCCCAGGTCGAAAATCAAAAGTGCTAAGAGCAACTGCCACCCAGAAGCTGCTTGGTGTTCCAGGTCTTCCAACTTGACCTCCTCCAACTCAGCAGCACCGCCAAGTCCCCAAGCATCATCTGCAGCCAGGCGAATGGAATCTCCATGCAGCTCCCAGCGTTGATTTTGGTTGCCATTCACTCCATCTTTGCGATAGATCTGGATAGCGGTTCCTCTGTGGCATCTGCCGAAATCCAAATCAAGCACCAAATCTGGACGGCAAGCCAAGCTGATGTTCACAGGACCCATTGGTCGCCCTTGATGCTGCAGCAGGACACGCAACGCACCTGCTGCCGGCGAATCAAATTTCTCCTCCTTCTCAAGGAAATCTCGCATCCTCTCCAGAAGCATGGCTGGTGCCGTCTCCACAGGGAAGGTGTCAAGACTCCTGTCCTCACTGGAGGCAGACTCGTCAGCTGAGAAAACACTTGACACCAGGGTAAAGTCATCGGTTGAGTCGGAAACACTGGCGACATCCTCTGCGTCGAGCTGCGCCATGTCAAACTCGTGGCTCAAATCGATGACTGGAACAGGATCCATTGGCTGTGGCTCTCCATTGGAAGGACGCAAATGGGAAAGATCGGTGTAACCTGACTCAGTCACCACGTCACATGGAAAAGCTGTGTGTGGAATCCACAGCAATGTCCCTGGGTCTCTCACTTCTCTGTAGGGCTGGGTATGATCGAACGGCCTCGTCACCAAAGATTCAAAGTCCGGATCCCGGGCATCTCGGGCATCTTGGGCATCTCGGGCAGAGGCATGTCGGCCCAAGGAATGTAGGCCAATCCCAATTAATGGGATAGACAGCAAAGGCAGGTCAACGAGCACAGAGGCTGTTGTGAGGTTGGCAAGTATCAGAGGATTCAGACCCATTTCAAGCAAATTGATTCCGACAGGCCCGACAGGTGCCATCTTCCTAGTCGCATCTTCAGAAAAGTCCTTCACCTCTTTGCTAATTTTCTTCGCGCCTTCCAAAGTCTGTTCCCAAGCATTCTCAGAAAAACCTTTTGCATCTTTGGCAACTTTCTGGGCACCTTCCAATGCTTTCTTGCCAGTGCCCTCTGTCAACTCTTTCACCTCCTTGCCAATTTTCTTGGCGCCCTCCAAAGTCTTTTCCCAAGCTTGCTGCAAAGCTTGCTTGCTCGCATCCTCAGACAAGTCCTTCGCATCTTTGGCAACTTTCTGCACACCGTCCAAGGCTTTCTTCCCAGTGTCTTCGGTGAAGTCTTTCAACTGGTGGGCAACCTTCTGCACAACCTTCAAAGCCCCCAAAAATGCCATGCGGACGGACAGGTCCCGATGCTGACAAGGAAATTGGCAGGGAAGATCCTTGAGCTTTACGACTGAACGATGGTATGGAGCATGCTCACTCTCTTTGTGTTCTTCACTTTTGCCAGTAGATGATCTTAAATGCATGAGGCTTAAATATGAACTGCAACTCATACATTCTAAGACTTGAAGGCTGAGGTTTCGAAAAACACTAGTGTCTACCTTGATTCTCACTTTGCGGAAAACATCACTCGGTTCGACTCAAAACTGAACAAGCTTCGAAATCAAACTGGCTGCTTTCTAGCTTTCACTATCGCAACTGGAAAGACATCGTAGGAAGGACAAGTATGGATAAATCAAAACTGACGTTCCAAACAAAATGTCCAATAGCGCATGGCAACACTAAAAATATGAAATACCTAGAGTCTCAAGTTTTCACCCATGCCCAGTAAACTTGCGATGTTCCTCCACTCTTTGTCCATCGTCCCCCGAACCTTGTGCTGCCCTTGGTCTGGGCGCATGCCACTGGACGCCTCAGTATATTCGGCTAGAGCTGGGCCACTTGGGACAATGGCAATGGCAGCAGGTCATGTCCGGCGCTTGTTTTCAGCAGGCGATGGCAGTAAAGGTGCGCAGTTTGTGCGGGTCAGTGCTCACGAACAAGTGGGCGTCAAGCACCACTGTGCCAACCCCAATGTCACCTTGAACATTGGCCCTGACACAATCTGCTGAACAGAGAGCTGCGCTGCGAACCAAAGCATTGTCTCAAACCATCTTTTGAACTGTTTACAGTAATGCTTGGAGGGTTGATGTTGGATTGAAAAGTAAATTTCATCATGCAGTCTTATCCATGCTCCTGGAGCACCAGAGAGTTAAGACAGAAGTACATCGTAGTCTTTGTCTTCGTGTATTTCATAGTTTTGCATGTCTTCTTAGTACCCTGTGCTTCCTTCTGGGTCGTTTCTCTGGTAGTTGTCTATTGTTGGCCAGCGGCTTTGACTCACCAAAAAGGATGGCCCAAGCTGCACTGATATTCTGTTGAGCCTCTGCTTTCTGACTGGAGTCTGTTCATGGGGACTCTATCTAAAAGGAGCCAATCAACATCTTCCCAAACTATCTGATGCCAGTTGATTGTGGTTAATTACAATGAAATTAGATTTACATATAGTCATATAGTGTTTCAGGAAAAACATGTAATGTGGTAAACCGGCAAACCCAATGATAAGCCTCCAGCTTTGCATGGTTCTGTTGAAAGTCGGGATGCTTTATTCTTAGGTTTACCACATTAGTAGAGTTGAAATCATGTGTTACTTCGAACTTCAAGTCCAGCTCTTTCTACTGAACGAATCTGAACGATATGTTTGCGTGAGCCATGAGCCACCTTGTTGTTCCCAAGGACAGTACGTCTACGCTCCTACATCTTTTGCAGATATTTGCAGAAGGCCATATTGTTAAAACATCTTAAAACAACATGGTATTCTGTCTTGATCAAGACCACCCTTTGGAAAGAAAACGAATCAGTGCTGTCATACAATCCCTGACGCGGAATGTAATGGAGATGAACCAGGCACACAGTTTCCAATTTTGCATAAACAACTTACGCTTTCCAGGAACCTGGTCCTCAAACGTTCAGGGCGGTGCCCACCTTAGCGTCAAAGCGCGCGACCATAGGTGAAGTGGGAAAAATGTCGAGAATCCAACTGGCTCTTCAGCGCTACCCTCTAGATGCTGCGAACTGCTAGAACTGCTTAGGTTGGAGCCTGCCTTTCTTGTGATGTTTTCAAGTTTTGAGGATAGCACAAGACTTTAAAAACAAGATGAAACAAGGAATCACAGGGTGTCCGGCCTCTCTTTTGTATTCTTTCATCACAATGACATCTCAGAGAATGTCAAGCAGGAAGTTCCAAGCTAAGCTTAATCATGTTTGGATGCGCATCTTTGTGCGACACTGCTATACAAATGGCCACGAAGGGGCGGGACGCGGTGGGACGTGGCGGGACGGTCATCTGCACAAGACCTTGCAAGTCCCAGGTGCGCTTCCAAAGCCCCATTCCTCCCTTTGAATGCGCATCATGAAGTGGGCAGGAAAGTTGTTTGTTGCACAAGTGTTGGGAGGAACGTGGCCCACTTGGCACAAAAATGTTGCTCAAGCCTCAAGTCAGGACATATCCGTCTGGAAAAAGGTTGCCTCCTTTACTTTGCTCCTCCATATTCAACTGAATAGGAACAACATGAAACAGCTGTCCCTTGTGATCAGCGTGCCAGGCACACCAGTCCTCCTGTTCGTTGTCCTGCCCGAGAGTTGATCGTCAGCACGGAGACAGCCGAGGCTTGCTCTAAATACTTCGGTAAAATCTTTGACCTGAGATGCACTGAGATGCACCTGGCTTCAGAAAAAAGCACGGCTTGCTGCAGCAAAACTTTTGCAAAAACTTCTCCAGCCAAGGGACTTCCAATGGGTCTCCAGCCACTGTGGGATGTACCACTCATCTCTCCAGGTTGGCTGCTGATTGGCTGCCTTTGTTGCAAGTCCTCTCCGCGTAGCTGCCCTTTCGGCCACATCTGTGATGTTCTTCAAGGTTGCTTCGCGAAGCTGCCAGCGACCAACCACAAAGACCCTCTTCACGCTCCGACTGGCCGGGGCCTCCGCTCCGGGGCCTCTGGATCGTGAGGAAATGGCATCACGCAAAGCGCTTCGCCTTGTCCTTTTCGGCGCAAATCCACGACCTGGATGCCATGGCTGCCATGGTTTCGCTTGAGCAAGGCATCAACTCTACGGCCATCAGGCAGCTGGTACAGAATGAGGAGTCTGTCGAGGAGTTCCTCAGCACCCGGTTGAAAGATCTTGTCAAAGTCATCGAAAATCCAATACTTCGGCACTTCATCCTTAGCAGCCTTGGCCGAAAGATTCTTCAGGAAGTCAACTTGAACTTGGTACGGAGTTCCTGTGTGGGGGCCTTTGCCAATTGCATATGTTGCTGAGATGCCCTTCAGACCAACAATCAGCATTGTTGAATTGTGACGACCAGCACCGCAGATGGCAAAGACCTGGTAAACCTGACGGGCGCTGCATTTCTCACGCTACTAGCTGAGCGCACCTGGTGAACAATATCAAGTCGCAAGGAATGCTTTAGGGCGGGTACGGTCAAAGGATAAAACCCAACAGCCTCTTCAAACACCATGTTATGCTTCTATAGTAACTAGTGGTCATTGACAAGCAAGCATCTGACAAGATGGAACACAACGTTTATTGCAATGGTGGAAAGAAACATGGGACACAATGATTGCAGGAAAGTCTCGTCCTACAAATGGTCAAACTGCAAACGCATACTTCCAACCTTTCGGAATTGAGCACTGCTACGGGCAAAGAAGTAAAATCCCTTCTGTTACACTCAATGGGCTGTCCTTCTTCTCTTTGGTCTCTTTCGTCTCTCTGCTCTCGCTCCCGTTGGTCTCTTTGCTCTCGTTGGTCTCCTCGGTCTCCTCAGTCTCCTTGGTCTCCTCAACATTCGTGAAGAAATCGCAGGCGAGATGCATCATTTTGTTCATCAACTGGTTCTTGACATCTATGCACTCCGACCGGCTCAGCAATATGGACACCATCTTGCCTGAGACAAGCATATGACAAGCGTGAAGACCATCCAATTTGAAACCAGTACTGCGTTTGTCTGGAAGTTTTGCTGAGAAGGGCACTGCTTCGTTCCATCAGCCCCTTCTGCTTAAAGATCTCCCTGAAATCAGGAGCATGTTCTGGTTCGGAAATGATCCGAAGCTTCTCAGTTCCTTTCAGGTTGTAGCCAATGTAGTAGAGGCAAAAATAGAGACCTTCCTTTTTGGCATCTCTTCCGTAGGCACAATGAGACTGGGGTGGACCGACCTTCAGATCAAACCACACATTCTTTACCGTTACCGTCTTGCCATCTTGCATCCTTGGATGATGATGGCTCCCAAAAAAAAAAATAAGAAGCTAAAAAAATTCCCAGTCGCTTCCACATTGGTGGATGAACCAATTCGAAGATACCAAGAAATCACCGTCTCAGCAAATCTAAGCATCTGCCTCGACTCCCACTTCAAGAAAATTGCTTTTCCAATGTCTTCCTCTTTGCATTCGATTTTGGCTTTGGACGCGAGGCGTATGGCGCAGCTTGCACAGCTAAAGTTACGCTCTAAGGCTTTGGAATTCACAAGCTCCAGAGCTCCTTGCCTTCCCCAAGTGTTGCGACTCTGCGCAAACGAGGTCAAAATATCCTTGGATTGGTGGCTCAGGCGTCCCTAAGAAAAAACATCTTCCGAAGCACATAGATTCCCCAAGGAGGAATTAATGTTCTTAAATGTTCTTGATGGGGAAAGAAGAAATCACACACCTTACCAACTCAACTTAAGTCATCTTAAGTCCAGGTATCTGCGCAGCGAGCTTCTTCGTTTGGTCTGAATCCCCGCAGAACTGCTGTTCCACCTTTTCCATCAGAGCTTGAGCTGCACTTGACTTTTGGCCACGGAGCCACAGCCACGGACTGCGGTGGAAAGCATTGAAGGAGAGTCCTCAGGGTGCAAAAAATCGCGGTGGATCCAACATCCAACACACAAAAATCATGAAAATTCTATTGTTTTCTTTGAAACCATTGAATTGTTGCACTAAAAAATCTTGAGCCATCCCAGTGTTCTCCAAGCCCCTGCGCCTCTCATCAGCCCCATCAGCAACGTTCAAGTGCGCCCGCTCCATCGCTGGAGGAGCGCTTGGGCTTCTTCTTTCCTTTTGGCAAAAGACGACACAAAGTGCCAGCATACAGCATCAGTATGGAAAAATATGGAAAAGCAACCCACACTGGAAACTCACTTTGTGTATTCAAACTCACTTTGCAGGCCTCAAAATGGAAATCCCAATCTTCAATTGGGATGTGGATGAACGTATTCTTCGTCTCGTGGGCTAAGCTGGTGTCCTGAAACTGGAACGGAACTGCATTGCTCGAACTCTGGAACCTTGGTACCTGTTGTTGAGTTGCAAAGTTGGG